GTTATAATCTTCTCCAGTTGTTATAATCCAAAATGCATCAATACTGGTAACGCGTGATAAAGTAACATAAACTAACGCTTGATAGTCTGCTAGCCAGTGTTTGTTGAATTGAAAAAATCGAGCCATACCATGCTGACTTCTCCACTATCATTTAAGTCAAGGTGTAACAACTTGCCCACAGTGCCGTTTGCCAAGCCATCTTCCTCATCAATATCCACTGTGATCATATATAATACGCAAACATATGGTTTTTTAGGCAAGAGTGCAACGGAAACTTATCAAATGCTTGAAGAGGCTTTTAAGGAGGAATGCGTTTTGAAATTTCTTTGTGGAAGGTGGCACAACGCCACACAAAACTTTGTCGCATACCGCTGTTCATTCCATCGCACCGGGACACAATAAAAAAAACTGCCTGCACAAAGACACGTTGATCATTTTTCATTGTCTAAATTTAATTTCTTCATTTACAGAATTCTGCATTTGGTATTTCGATTGTTTTTATCAATATTTAAAGAAAACTCGAATTCTTTCCGATGATTTAAAATTACAATCTCATTTTCGTTGTATATGGTAATAAATTTTAATTCAGCCAGTAACATATGCTGAACATAACGAAATAAATGTTCGCTTTGAGAATTCTCACTTACGATCATAAATGTATTATTATTTAAGGGGAGGTTCTTTTCTTTTTTTCGAAAACTAAGCAAACTTTGAGAATTAATTGCGGAAAAATGAAAAGACATACGAACTTATGCTTTTGAACTTTTGATTCGTTGTTTATTAACGATTAAAAAAAAAAATTCAATATTCAGGAAATTCAAAATGGCGGCTTCAAAATGGCGGATCTCGTAGACCTCTATTTTTCTGCTTTGTCGAGTGTCGGGCCGCTGGTAGTAAACCGAAATTAAAAATGTAAATTATTTATTAAAATTGATGGAATTTCCTATGCCTTATACCTAACTAGAATCAATTTTGGTAAAATTAAACCAATTTTATGGACATTTAAAAAAAATGGACTTTTTTTTTTACTTCGATCTCGTTTAAAAATTATAAATAAACAATTTTTTATGCCAATTTTAGGTATAAGGCATACAAAAAAGTATATACTTTCAAAAATTTTTTGAACGAAGGAAATCGGATCAATAGAACGACCCCTGTGCGCGACAAGAGGTTTGAAAACATGGTTCCGAGAAAAACGCGTTTAAAGTTTTTAGAGCGTACCACAGCGCATGTGACATGGGTATGTTTGACACGCTCTAGCTCAAGAAATACGCGTCGTATCGAAATATCCTTTGGCACGTATATTCTAAACATATGTAACTTTAATTATTTAAAAAAAAAAAAAAAATCGATTTTTTCAAAAAAAAAAGAAAAGAACCTCCCCTTAAATCAGTTTGAGTCAGTATGCAGAGCAATCAAGCGAATTGATCGAACTATTCCTTTTTGTGTACGAAACTCGATCGAAGAATTTTGTAGCGAAGCGCTGTGTTGAGTTATGACCGGTTTGAGCAAGGTTGATCAAACCGTATCGATCTTATTCATTGTGGGTCTCTGATATGTTTAAGGAATTGGTTTCTTATATCTTTTTTCTCTCAGGGAATGAAAATGCCCAAAACGTTACATGGCCTTAAAATTTGACCCTATATTCTTCATATCGCATCGACGCCTAAGAAGCTTAACTTTAAAAATCTTTTTACTATAAAATGAAGAGTCTAATCGCAGTCTACATTTATATTTTAAATGATGTGCATCAAGTTAGCAGAACGACTTTTGATATATATTTTTTTCTTTCTCATAATTTGCCGTTAATTATCCGTAAATTATTCGTGAAAGAATCAAATTTGCGGCTCAATTTTTAGATTTTTTATTAAAAAAAACTTTGATGTTCTGCTAATTTGATATCAAGTTAGCAGAACAACACACTAAAACTAAACTTTTTCAACTTTTTTTTTACAATTACAAAAGAAATTAATAAATACATTTGTAAATAGCCACTCATAAGTAAAAGTAATCCTGAATTTACCAATTTCGTGGTTGTTGTTAACGGTTACAAAATTGATTTTACCCTAGCCTCCTCCCAATGTCACCGCATAAATTGGAATAAAAGAATATTCTAGTACAAAGTATACTTAGAATAAAGCAGCACAACTGCCAAAATGAAAGTTACTGCATATGCATAAGCACACGTGAGAGAATGAGAATGAGCGCAAAGGAGAACTAGGGAAGATAAAATCAGTAACTTTTGTTTTTGTCGCTTTCGCTGTCGCTGCTGATTAGGCTGTTGCTTAATTTCGGCAATAGGTGTGGAAAAAATGTTCGCATTTGCGTTTGCGCAATTTTGCGCAAAAGTTTTAAATTGGGTATTGTAGTACAGATATATACTAATATTACCTATATGGTCTCTGGTTGGAAGCTGATGGAAGGCTAAAAATACTCGATTCAAAAAAATTTATTTAAAAAAAAACAAACAATTTTTTGCTAATTAAATGAGAATCCCATCACTACAACAATACATATTGATAAACATTTTTATTGGTGATATAGTTTACAGTAATAATGAACTGTTAAAAAAAAAATTTATCGAAAAAATGTTCGTAAATAAAAAAGAAATTATATTATATTGGGTCTACAACTTTGCTTCCGCCGTTTTTTTTTTTGTAAATTCAAGGCTCTATTGTAAAAAAACGGTTTCAGAAATGTTATTCAAAATATTAGCCGTCGCTAGCTACTACTTTTGACCATCTTTCTGGCAGCATGCGTATTCCGTGACGAAAGAACTCCTCATCTTTCGAGTCGATCCAAGTATTAATCAAATTTTTGACTTCTTCATAAGAACTGAAGTGCTCTTTAGCTAGACCGTGTGCCATCGATCGGAACAGGTGGGGTAAGATTTCCCATTTCATCGTCTTGTCATGCTGGAGAATGACTTTATCTTGTCTTTCCTCGTACTGTGGTCGTTTTTTTTAAGTGCTCGGCTCAAACGCATTAATTACGTTCGGTATCGATCTCCTGTGATGGTTTCACTTGGCTTTAGCAGCTCATAATATATCACCCCCAGCTGGTCCCACCAAATGCAGAGCATAACCTTGGCGCCGTGAATGTTCGGTTTTGCCGTCGACGTGGAGGCATGTCCAGGCTTTCCCCATGACTTTCTTCGCTTAGGATTATCGTAATGGACCCATTTTTCGTCGCCAGTTACGATGCGATGTAGAAATCCCTTCCGGTTTTGCCTTTGGAGCAGCTGTTCACATGCAAAAAAGCGCCGTTCGACATCTCTTGGTTTTAAGTCGTAAGGAACCCAGTTTCCTTGTTTCTGAATCATCCCCATGGCTTTGAGGCGTTTTGACACGGCTTGCTGTGTCACTTGCAATGATTTGGCCAACTCCTCTTGGGTTTGAAACGCATCTTGGTAATGCTTCCAATTCAGCATCTTCGAAAATCTTCTCCCTTCCACCACCATGCCGGTCTTTGACTTCATAATCACCATTCTTAAAAAGTTGAAACCATTCGCGGCATGTTCTTTGACTCAGAACATCCTCACCGTACGTATCCGAAAGCATTCGATGAGCTTCAGCAGCCCTTTTCTTGGAATTAAAAAAGAAAAGCAAAATTTCCCGCAAATGTCGAGAATTCGGCTCAAAAAGTGAGATTTTCAGTTGAGAATAAATTTGGGATGCAAACAGATATCTACAAATATTTAGTTGGCTTTTGTTGGACAGATGTATGTGTAAGATCGATATAAAAGTATTTAATCGATTTATATCGACCAGTGCTTGACCCTAGAGACATCTATTGGAAAACGGCGGAAGCAAAGTTGTAGACCCAATATTTTTATAGGATTTTCGCCACTTGTCACTTTTAAGGTTTAAAATTTTTATGTAAACGGAATCAAAACAAGCTAATACTTTGGGGAACCATAGTTCAAATATTCAAGAATTGATTAGAAATAGACATTTTTAAATCCAGGACTATTGAAAAATTGGATTTTTGGCTGCATCCGGACCACTGTGCATTCGCTTGATTGTTCTTCTTTTTTGGTGTCGGTATGATGATCGAAATTTATTGTACAGAAAAAGCCGATCAAGTTCAATGATGCAAGAAATTATTCAAAACAAATTACTTCATGTATTTCTTCATTATTAACGCTTAAAATTAAAATTGAATTGTTGCGTAATGAACACAAACTTCATTGAGATCAGCAAATACTTAAAATTAAAAAAATTTTTTTTCTGGATTAAATCTAAATTGCTTAAACTTTTATAAAATGAATTTAAAAACAATAACTAAAAACAATAGCTTGGATTTAATCGAACCACCCGGTATAAACAATCGGTATAATTGTGATCGAACTGAATCCAAGCAGCATTCTCAAACATTCATTACTGCTCACACAAAGCGTTCGATCAGACAAGCTCATTTTGAAGCAAGCAAGAGTGATTGGAACTGAATGTTAGCTTTGAGCACGATCGCTTCAACATTTCTGTTGAAGCAATATTTTGAATCACAAAATATTCGAGTCAATGATCGGGTATGATTGAAAAAATTGTGATCGCTTCCTTTCTTGTTTTTTATCTGACAGTCATGATATTTTGAATTTCGACTTTTTAAAGACAATTGAATTTCGAATTTTGCTGGATTTAAAAATTTTAACAAATTATAAGAAAAAAAGTACATTGCAGTTGAGTTCAAACTTTTGTGGCTTAACAAGAGTGTCTTAAAATTGTTTAACCGTTTTTATATACACCTAGATATGTATACCTATGTTATTTTTAGAGTAGCATATGACTACTCATTAACAAAGAAGGCAATGAAAAAGGTCTTAATAAAACAAATATAGGTCAAATTTTTAATACATGTGCTGGTCTTGTTAACACTAGGTTAAAATAGAAGTCACTCGCTCAAGTATGTGTAGATTAAACGTTTAATTGTATGTTAGCTTTAGTCAATCTACTTACAAAATGTTAGTATTTTAATGGAGAAAAGTAAATAATAGTTTCTAGTATTCAACACTTCCTTTTTTGTAGAATGGAAGTGCGAGCAGCAAAGATGAGCAGTTTGCATTGCACTACGGCCATGCTCTCCTCCCTTCAAGCATCTGCTTCATCGGCAGTCTCTCCCAAAGCCACTCCAAAGAAGACAGTATCCAAGAATGCCGTTGCTGAATCCATTCTCTTAGAGCCCCAGAATCAACAACCAAATTTGCAAGAGGACTTTAATAGCAAAAATGGAACATGGGCAAGCCCTGCCGGTTCCATATTGGAGCTGAAAAAGGAAGAAGACTTACACCAGCTCAACAATTTTCAGGGTAGCGGAATTGTGGAAAATTCTAATGGCTCGATAAGTGGTTCCTCATCAACTGCCTCGGCTACACCCGGATCGAGTACCATCGTAAGTGGCACTGAAATCGGCTCTGTTAGAGACACTTCGTGCTTAGCTGCCGCCGCCCACGTTAAGAAGCGCATATCGAGCAGCCGTACACCGACACGCAAGGCCCATCGGATTAAATTCTATCGGAACGGGGATCGCTTCTACCCTGGAATAACTATTCCTGTCTCCTACGAACGATATCGATCCTTTGAGAGTCTTTACGTAGATCTTACCCGGTTGCTGGAGGAGAATGTTAAGATACCAGGCGCTGTTCGCAACATTTTTAGCATGTGTGGAAAAAAGGTTGGTACCTCTCCTATCAGCTCAGGTTTTCAATCTTAAAATTTTGCATCTGCAGATTACCTCCTTTGAAGAGTTGGAAGACGGACAGAGTTATGTTTGCTCCTGCAATAACGAGAATTTTAAGAAGGTGGAATACAACACTACTTCCCAACCTTTGGCCAATTTGACGATGAGCAACAATAATCGCTCAAACAATCTGCGGCTGACAAAGCTTCATCGGCCTGCCTCTCCACTGAAAAATGGACAATTTACAGGCAGTAATGGGCCAGTGTTGCCTTGCGGTGTAGGAGCGGCAATCGGCAGTCCCTTGAACGTATATAGATTCAGCGAGCGTGACACTGTGGTTTATCCGCGTATCGTAACGCTGATACGAAATGGAACTAAGCCACGCCGAATTGCGCGGTTGTTGCTGAACAAACGTAACAGTCCAAGTTTTGATCACGTCCTGACTGCCATTACGCAAGTGGTTCGCTTAGATACGGGATATGTGAGAAAAGTATTTACTCTTTCAGGGATATCAGTACTCCAACTCGCAGATTTTTTTGGACCGGATGATGTTTTTTTTGCTTACGGAACAGAGCGTGTTAACACGGTGGAGGATTTTAAACTTGAGGCGGAAGAGCAGCGTGCTATCAATATTATTCGCAAAACATTGCGTACGGATGGAACTGCCTGTAAAGGGCCCAAGCCCAAGATGCCTGTTAAAAGTAAAAAGGTTTATCCTCTCCTAGTAGATTCGAATTCGTACAAAGCGGCTCCTGCGTTAGAAGTTGATGAGCATGCGGCATTGCTTAAGAGCACTGGCGTAGAAATCAATAATTTTCCAACAGATATTCGCGATCATTACATATTGGAACACATTATCGGGGATGGAAACTTTGCTGTTGTACTAAAGATCAAGGACCGCCACAGGGGTAATGCTTATGCCCTAAAAATAATTGATAAAAAGAAGTGCAAGGGTAAGGAGCACTATATTGATGCTGAAGTTCGAGTCATGAAAAAGCTCGATCATCCGCATATAATATCACTTATAATGGATATAGACCAGAATACAAATATGTATCTGGTACTGGAATATGTAAGTGGTAGGTTCAACTCGAGCATTTCTGTACAGCATCTTCCAGATTAATAAGATAAATCTTTATAGGTGGCGATCTTTTCGATGCAATAACCCAGGTGACGAGGTTTTCAGAAAGCCAGTCCCGCACTATGATTCGGCATTTGGGCTCTGCCATGTCGTACTTACATTCCATGGGCATTGTGCACCGAGATATTAAGCCAGAAAATCTCCTTGTAAGATGCTTGCTATTATGAATAATTTATTTAAATTCTAAATTTAAAAGCACTTTTCAATTTAAATTGCAGGTTGAACTGAATGAGCATGGAAACGTTATCGAACTTAAGTTAGCTGATTTTGGATTAGCATGCGAAGTAACAGAACCTTTGTACGCTGTCTGCGGGACTCCCACTTATGTAGCACCTGAAATACTATTAGAAGTGGGATATGGGTTAAAGGTGATTGAAAACAATTTGTTTCTCGGCGATCGCTAAATAGCTCTATTTGTAATTTTCATAGATCGATGTTTGGGCGGCTGGGATCATATTGTATATATTGCTCTGTGGGTTTCCCCCATTTGTGGCGCCTGACAATCAGCAGGAACCCCTCTTTGATGCGATAATATCGGGTATTTACGAGTTTCCCGATCCCTACTGGTCGGATATAGGCGACGGCGTACGTGACCTCATTGCTAACATGCTGCAGTCGGATCCGGAAGTTCGCTTCACTAGCGAAGATATCCTTGACCATTATTGGACGATGGGAAATGAGAATGACTATAGCAGATGAATCGTGGCCGTTCATTTTCTTTCATACTAAACATTTGAGACGCGAGTCCTTTTAGTTATTTGTGTCAAAGAATTTTATTATATAAGCCCATATTTATTTATACATAAAGCTAGAAACGATAGTCGTGAAGCAATGACCACAAATTGAATACGACAACCGAAGAAATCATACGAAATCGAGCATTTCTAAAATTCCAATGTTCCAAGCTGTTGAGAGTTTCTTTGTGTGCATTTAATTTTAAACATATACATGCAATCAAACTTGTATTTTAGCATGTTACTTTGACCTTTTTAAGTTGATGTTATCATTAATAATCAAATAAAGGGTAAATTGTATACAAAGTTTATGCTTCAATTTCATCCGTTCCGCACGCGTATTGGTGGGCGTTAGGGTGTCCCATCCTCTAAGGGCTGATTTTTTTTTTTTTCAATTTTGAAAACGCATATTTCTTCTAATTGATCTTAAGAACCTAAATATTAAATATGTATTATCGAAATCGGATAACGGTAACCCGTGCCGACTTGATGCCAAACATTTAAGAAAAATATTGTATGAGAATCCTATAGGAAAATATTATTTTTTTATACCCTTGCAGAGCAAAAGGGTATTATAATTTCAGTCAGAAGTTTGCAACGCAGTGAAGGAGATACCTTAGACCCCATAAAGTATGTAGAGTATATATATTCTTGATCAGCATCACCATCTGAATCGAAATACAGGGTGGGCCATTTAAATTTGACCCATTTGGCAACCCTGTAACTTTTGACAGCGTCGACAGATCGTCAAATGTCATACCACGTTGGAAAGTATATATATTCTTGATCAGCATCACCATCTGAATCGAAATACAGGGTGGGCCATTTAAATTTGACCCATTTGGCAACCCTGTAACTTTTGACAGCGTCGATAGATCGTCAAATGTCATACCACGTTGGAAGCGTCAGTCGAAGACAATTGATACCATGGAACAATACACTCCAAAGGAACTCGCTCAAATTGTTCAGCTCTACATTGAAAATAAATTCTCAATTGTGTTAACCCAACGTGCGTTTCGTAAAATGAATAAAGTTAATAGTGCTCCAGTTAAAAACACAATTAAGTCTTTTATGCCACCGAAAATCCTCAATTAATCGAAGAACAGCCACTTTACGACCAAAAAGTTACAGTTTGATGCGGAAAATGTCATGGATAACTTCTGGTTTCAACAGGACGGGGCAACTTGCCATACAGCTAGAGCAACAATCGATTTATTGCGAACATTGTTCCCTGGACGATTGATATCGAAAAGTGGTGATTTTGACTGGCCCCCAACATCACCAGATTTGACGGCACCAGACTTTTATTTGTGGGGTTATTTGAAATCCAAGGTATACGCTAATAAACAAAAAACCTTAAGTCAACTAAAAGACAACATTAGACGTGAAATAGCCGCCATATCGTCTGAAACATTGACCAAAGTCATGGAAAATGCTGAAAAAAGAATGCATTCGGCTGTCAGAGCTATAGGTGCCCATTTGCGTGTTATCATTTTTAATAATAATTTGTAAAAAATCTCCTTGGACCAAAATAAATGATTTTTGGAATAAAAAAAAAATTTTTCACTTTTTCTAGTTTTGTTTTAAGAATCAAGTGGGTCAACTTTAAGTGGCCCACCCTGTATGTATGTACGTCTGTCCGTCGGTCCGTCTGTCCGTCTGCGTTTTCAGGCAATTCGGATGTTTTTTTTTTTTATCGTAATCGGCGTTTTGCGCAATTCGGTATCGCCATTTGCCATTTGCTCGTTCGAAGATCCGATGGATCAAAAAATAATTTAGACTGAAAAAAATACGAACCATTTACACAAGAGTACACATTTGTGAATGACAAGCCTCTTTTGCCATTTAACCCGTTTTTGTAAACGGCGCAGGTAACTTTTTTTTCTTTATAAGTCCTTCTGGGAGCATTGCTTGAAGGTGGTCGAACAGCCCATTCAGCACTAAAATTGCCATTAAATATGCAAAGCAATGAAACTCCAACCTGCAACGTTTCGAAGAACTTTGCAATGGCAAAGGTTTTGCAGCAATGTAAATTGATTGTTTGAGATGAATGCACGATGGCACATAAAAAATCTTTGGAGGCTTTAGACAGAACATTAAAAGATCTACGGAGCAATAATAACCGATTTGGTGGTGCAATGATTTTATTAGCAGGAGATTTTCGTCAAACATTGCCAGTGATTCCACGATTAACGCCATTTGATGAACTCAATGCATGTCTAAAGTCCTCCAATTTGTGGAAACATGTCAAAGTAATTCATTTAAGCAAGAATATGCGTGTCGAGTTGCAAAATGACCAATCTGGAAACATATTTTCTAAACAACTCATTGACATTGGTAATGGCAAATTTCCTATAGACATGTTCACTGCTGCCATTGCCAAATGAACCACATAAATTCTTACTAATATTGTTTAATAGTGTTACTGTTGTAATTGTTTAATTAATCTATACTTCTATACTAATATTATAAAGAGGTAAAATTTGTTTGTTTGTTTGCAACGAATAGGCTTCGGAACTACTGGCCCGATTTAAAAAATTCTTTCACCGATAGAAAGCTATATTATCGTGGAGTAAAATAGGCTATAATTTATTTTGAAAAACATCAGGGATCCGTAAGAAAATTGCAATATTGTCGCATATAAAGCGAGTTGCTACCTCATCACACTGACAAACACGCTACCATAGCATTTTAACTCAATTTTTGTGGTTTTCATTTATCATTTCCAAGTGAATTAAGTTTCTTCACATATTATGCCAACCACGGTCACAGTGAAAACTCGTTTTGGGACGGACGATCCTCCCTAGTTAGGACGGTAAAGGGAAGGCGGATCCTCCCTAGTGCACAACTCGTTTTGGGACGGACGATCCTCCCTAGGCAGAACGGGAAAGGGAAGGCGGATCCTCCCTTGGGGACGACTCGTTTTGGGGACGGACGATCCTCCCTAAGTAGGACGGGAAAAGGGTAGGCGGATCCTCCCTGTAGGGCAGTCGTTTCGGGAAGGCCGATCCTCCCTAGGCAGATTGGGAAAGGGACGGCGGAACTTCCCTATCGCGTGTGAGTGATTTTCTGAGCCCCGAACCATTCTGTCGACTGCGGCCTCGCCCGAAGGTCCAGCCGGTGAAATTTTCCGTCTCCGTCAGACGAGAGACTCTTTTCAGCCCAAGATCTTGTAACGAACTGCTTTTTGACTTTCGATCGCTACGTTAACGTGCGGCTAGCTCAGTTGAGTTTGTGTGTTCGTCCCACCAAATTTATTGTTGCGTGACCCCGAAACCAAAGAAGAACGCAGAGTTATGTTAGATTTAGAATATGTGTGTTGGGTTTATTGCTTGTAGATTTACAATAAAATATTCGACCTCTGGCTCCGATCGCTGATGAATATAACGGCCTCGCTGACGCCGGTAGTGGCTCCCACGTCGACTTCTACGGCGGCACGCCTGTCGTGCGTCCTCTGCCTTGCCGAGTCTTTCGGGCACCGGTCGCGTACTCGGCTCGCTACGAGTCTCTCACAACTTGGCGGATGTTAAGCAGAAAACCTTACTGGAGGGCTAAGCAGCGTTGCTGAAGTCAACACTCTACGCTTCACCCTGAAGTCGGTCGGGATTTCGTCGGCTGGACCGACTCCGGGCACCTTTCGCACAACTCCCTTGGATTCTCGTCGGCTGGCTCTCAGCAGGTTCTCAGTCTCTCATGCGAACCGACGCTGGGTACCTTTCGCACAACATCCACTTACTCGGACTCCACCAATATCGTCGTTTTCGAGACTCGTAGACGCACCCTACAACTTACCCTGTACCCTCGGGATCTCAGCTTGGCAGTCTCAGCTTATGTAGACGTGACCGTCGTTGGGCTTCTCGGCTCGGCGATCTTGATCCGGATATCCTGGCACTTGTTGTTCACTTGGGCTTTATTCGCGTTGATACGGTCACTTGCACGACTTTCACTTGACTTTCCAGAAGCGTGCGCGCGTCCTCCTTTTATACGCCATCCTGGTCCCGCAATTTCCCTTCCTCGGTGGCGTGATCGGGTCCAAAGTGCAGGACAAGTGGCGTGATCGGGTCCAAAGTGCAGGACCAGTCCCGTTAGTTCACGGTCATTCCTCTTTGTGCTGGTCCAACGTCCGCCGACTTTATCGTTATACGGGTACAAAGTTCAGGACTTCACCGTTATAACGGGTACAAAGCCCAGAACGCTACCGTTAGTTCACGGTCTCTCCTCTTTGCGCGGGTCCGAAGTCCGCAGACTCACCGTTATTGGGTCCAAAGTCCGCCGACTCACCGCAGCATTGAGTTCAAAGTCCAGAGAGCCCTTATTTCCCTTTTCCCACCGCACACCGCGCATTCCGCTGTTGCCATGCAGCTCCCCTGCACTCGAAATTGTAAGGAGTTTTACAACTCCTTACAATCTTCATATTGGCTGCGGCCTCGACGGAAGGTCCAGCCGGTGGAATTTTCCGTCCCCACCAGGCAAAGCGCGCAGTTTTCCTATCGGCTGCGGCCTCGCCCGAAGCTCCAGCCCGTGGGATTTTTGGGTCCAAAGAGGCCCTTCAAGACAATCCACAAACCTCTGCTCGTCAAACGGACAGACCTCTTTAGCTCAGTGTCTCAGTGATTTAAAAATTTTCTTCTAAAGAACCCTGGAATACGAGTGAGATTCATATCCCGACTAGAAAAAACTGAGGCCAGCTAGAGTGAACACAAAGTGGCGTGAAGACCCACTAAAGCATACAAACTGTCTTGCGAGGTGGATCGAAAAATCCAACCAGCGCCCCATACAGAGTTTTACAAAGAAACAGCCACAGACTAACTGCGTGAGCCATGGTCGACCCAAAGGAGTCGGATTGCGAGTATGAAGATGCGGATTTGACGAAGAATCCCGGAGTGGATGTACGGTGGATCTATGCCCGACGTAAAGACGAGCTCGCGGCCCTAGCGCAGGAATTTGGATTCAGTGCAGACGGCACAGTAGCAGATACGCAGAAGGCGTTCGCCACGCTGGTGAGCAGGGGATCGTTTCCTGAGACAGTGTGGAAACGACTCATGGAATTACAAAATTCTATAGCTCTCGCGCTCCGAGTCCCAACAGACAGGGGAAAAGCGTAGGCCTAGCACAAGGAGCCGAAACTTTTCCGGTTGGGCAGGCAGCGACCTCCGCCGGCACCTCATCGCCTGGAAGCCGTACCACCCGACGCGGAGTTCATCCTAGCTCGACGGATGATGATGGATGATGATGACCTTGTTGTTGCCACCCGCACCCAGTAATGAGGGGTCCCTCTTCCTCGACACTTGCTTCCGGAACGAATG